ACGGGGTGCGCCTGTTCTATTCGTGAAGAAGAAGTATGGCACTATAAGGATGTGCATTGATTATAGGCAGTTGAATAAAGTAACAATTAAGAACAAGTATCCTCTGTCTCGCATTGATGATTTATTTGACCAGCTTCAAGGAGTGAGAGTGTTCTCTAAGATTGATCTCCATTCAGGTTATCACCAGCTGAAGATCAGGGACTTGGATATTCTTAAGACGGCTTTCAGGACCCGATACGGTCATTATGAGTTCTTGGTGATGTCTTTTGGGCTGACCAATGCCCCAGCATCGTTCATGCATTTGATGAACAACGTGTTTCGGCCTTATCTCAACTTGTTTGTCATAGTTTTCATTGATGATATTCTGGTATACTCGCATGATCAGGAGGAGCAGGCAGAGCATTTAAGAGTTGTGTTGCTGGGATTGAGGGAGGAGAAGCTTTATGCAAAGTTCTCCAAGTGTGAGTTTTGGATCAGTTCAGTGGCTTTCTTGGGACACGTGGTGTCCAGTGAGGGTATTCAGGTTGATCCAAAGAAGATAGAGGCGGTCCAGAGTTGGCCCAGACCGTCCTCAGCTATAGAGATTTGTAGTTTTCTTGGTTTGGCGGGTTATTACCGCTGGTTTGTTTAGAGATTCTCATCTATCGCGTTGCCCTTGACCAAGTTGACTCAAAAGGGTGCTTCATTTGAATAGTTGGATGAGTGTGAGGAGAGCTTTCAGAAGCTTAAGACCGCCTTGACCGTAGCTCCAGTGTTACTGTTGTCATCAGCTTCAGGTTCCTATACCGTGTATTGTGATGCTTCGAGAGTTGGTATTGGGTGTGTATTGATGTAGGAGGGTAGAGTTATTGCTTATGCTTCTCTCCAGTTGAAGCCCCATGAGAAGAACTACCTTGTTCCTGATTTGGAGTTGGTTGTCATTGTTCACGCATTAAAGATTTGGAGGCATTATTTGTATGGTGTGTATTGTGAGGTGTTTACTGATCATCATAGCCTCCAACACTTGTTCAAATAGAAGGATCTCAATTTGAGGCAGCAAAGATGGTTGGAGCTGCTAAACGATTATGATATTACCATTTTGTACCATCCGGGGAAGGCCAATATGGTGGCCGATGCTTTGAGCCGGAAGGTGGTGAGTATGGGGACTTTGGCATATATTCTAGTGGGGGAGAGACCTCTTGCAGTTGATGTTCAGGCCTTGGCCAATCGGTTCGTTAGGTTGGATATTTCGGAGCCCAGTCGGGTATTAGCTTGTGTGATTTCTCGGTCTTCCTTATATGATCGCATCAGAGAGCACCAGTATGATGATCCATATTTGCTTGTCCTTAAGGACAGATTTCAACATGATAATGCCAGAGACGTGACTATTTGTAATGACGGAATATTGAGGATGCAGGGTCGGATATGGGTGCCCAATGTGGATGGGCTTCGGGAGTTGATTCTAGAGGAGGCCTATAGCTCGCAGTATTCCATTCATCTGGGTGCCGCGAAGATGTGTCAGGATCTGAGACAACATTATTGGTGGAGGAGAATGAAGAAAGACATTGTGGGATTTGTAGCTCGGTGTCTCAATTGTCAGCAGGTGAAATATGAGCATCAGAGACGGGTGGCTTGCTTCAGCGGATGGATATTCTAGAGTGGAAGTGGGAGCAGATCACTATGGACTTTGTAGTTGGGCTCCCACAGACTTTGAAGAAGTTCGATGCTATTTGGGTGATTGTGGATCTGCTGACCAAGTCCGCGCACTTCATTCCTGTGTGTACTACCTATTCATTAGAGAAGTTGGCAGAGATCTATATCCGGGAGATTGTTCGTTTGCATGGTGTCCCAGTTTCTATCATTCTAGATAGGAGCACTCAATTTACTTTACAGTTTTGGAGGTTTGTGCAGCGAGAGTTGGGTACTCAAGTTGAGTTGAGCACAACTTTTCACCCTCAGACGTACGGGCAGTTCGAGCGCACTATTCAGATATTGGAGTACATGTTACACGTTTGTGTCATTGATTTCGGGGGATCAAGTAATCAGTTTATATTGCTCGCGAGTTTACTTATAACAACAGTTACCAATTGAGTATTCAGATGGCTCCATATGAGGCTTTGTAGGGAGGCAGTATAGATCTCCAGTTGGTTGGTTTGAGCCGTATGAGGCTAGACTATTGGGTACAGACTTGGTACAGGACGTTTTAGACAAGGTGAAGGTGATTTAGGAGAGGCTTCGTACAGCGCAGTTGAGACAAAAGAGTTATGTTGATAGGAAGGTTCGGGATGTGTCCTACATGGTTGGCGAGAAGGTTCTATTGAAGGTTTTACCCATAAAGGGTGTTATGAGATTTGGGAAGAAGGGTAAATTGAGTCATCGGTTCATTGGGCCTCTTGAGGTGCTTCTGAGGATTGGAGAGGTAGCTTATGAGCTTGATTTTCCACCTAGCTTGTCGAGTGTGCATCCGATATTTCATGTTTCTATGCTCCGGAAGTATATTGGCAATCCGTCTCATGTTTTGGATTTCAACATGGTTCAGTTGGATGATGATTTGACTTATGATATGGATCCAGTGGCTATTTTGGAGCATCAGGTTCGAAAGTTAAGATCAAAGGATATAGTTTCAGTGAAAGTGCAGCGGAGAGGTCGGCCTGTGGAGGATGCTACTTGGGAGACCGAGCGGGAGATGCGGAGCAGATATCCTCACCTATTTGAGGCTTCAAGTATGTTTCTTGACTCGTTCGAGGACGAACGTTTTGTTTAAGAAGGGGAGGATGTAACGACCCGACCGGTCATTTCATGAGTTACCGCTCTATTTTCCTCATTTCTACTTTTTATTATTTTGTTCATTTGTATTATATGTTATCGGGTTGATTGGTTCGGGCTCGGAGAGGTTTTGGTAAGGTTTGAGACACTTAGTCTCTTTGAGTAAGCTTAAGTTGGAAAAGTCAACCAGATGTTGACTTATGTGTTAAAGGGCTCGGATGTAAGTTCTGATGGTTAGGATAGCTTCAGGAGGTGATTTGGGACTTAGGAGCATGATCAGAATGTGTTTTTGAGGTTCAGAGTAAATTTAGGCTTGAATTGGCGAAATTGGAATTTTGGCATTTTCCGGTTGATAGGCGAGATTTTGATATAGGGGTCGGTATGAAATTCTAGGAGTTGTAGTTGGACCGTTGTATCATTTGGGATGTGAAGGTCATTCGGACATGGTTTGATAGACTTTTTTATCGAAAGCGGAATTTGGAAGTTTTTAGAATTCTTAGGCTTGAATCCGATGTGATTTTGGTGTTTTGATGTTGTTTTGAGCTTTCCGAAGGTTGGAACAAGTTTGAATGAGGTTATGGGATATGTTGGCATGTTTGGTTGAGGTCTCGAGGGCCTCGGGTGAGTTTTGGGTGGTTGAACGGATCAATTCATGTTGGAAAAAGTTGCAGAAAATCTGTTGTTGGTGTTGCAGACATTTGGCCTTCGCGTTCGCGAGAAGGCTCTCGCGTTCGCAAAGGGATGGGAAGTGAGGTTGTCATTTTGGCCTTCGCATTTGTGATGTGGTTCCCCCGTTCGCAAAGGGTGAGGTCTAGTGGTCATCGCGAACGCGACGAGGGTCCCGTGTTTGCGTAGAGTATTTGGAATGGCTGGATCCCAGAAGCCTTGTTCTTCGCGTTCGCGTAGGTGTAGCCGTGTTCGCAAAGGTTGGGTCAACTGAAGCATCGCGTTCGCGAGGGTTCTTCCGTGTTCTTGTAAGAGGATTTTTGGTCAATGGTATTTTGTGCTTCGCGAATGCGAGGCTTTGACCACGTTAGCGAAGAAGGATTTCAAATCGCTGGACAGAATGTTTAAAAGGCCATTTTTGCGATTTTTGGCCTAAGTTCACCATTTTGACTCGGTTTTGGAGCTTTTTGAGAGAGATTGAAGAGGGAATCAAAGAGAATCTATTGGAGGTAATAATTATGGACTTAATACTCGATCCTATTGTGATTTCTACCTAATTAAACATGAAATTTGGGGAATTTGAAGCCTAAATTGGGGAGTTAGGGCTGGGAAACTTGAGACCTTAATCTAGGGATTTGAGGGGCCATTTGTGGCCGGATTTGGGTAGTCTTGGTATGTATGAACTCGTGGGAGGATAAGGATTTCATTGATATGATTTTTATCGAATTTTGAGACGTGGGCCTGGAGGTGGGGGTGGACCAATTTCAGGATTTTTGGTATAATTTGATTAATTTCGCATGAGCTTCGTCCCTTTAGCATATTCGAATGTTATGATTCTGATTTTGGGTAGATTCGGCTTGAGTTGAGGCAGAGGCGAGAGGCAAAGGTGTTGCAGAGTAGTTTTTCATCCGGTTTGAGATAAGTAACCATTGTAAATCTGGAACTGAGGGTACAAAACCCCGGTATTTCTTATCGTTTTGATAAATGAGGTGACACACATTCTAGATGACGAACGTGTGGGCGTGCACCAGTAGGAATTGTGATTTGGTCCATCCCGTAACGACTATTATGCCTCCTACTTGATTTGAAATCTTATGATATCCCGTATTTTAGAAATTTATACTGTATTATGGGTTGTCGCTACTGGAAAATGGGCCTATGGCAACGGCGGGAAAACCGTTGCAAATGATTGATAAACCGTTGCCATAGATGTATTGGAACGATTTAGCAACTGTTGCATCCGCTCGCGTGCCAATAGATCTAAAGCAACGATCCTTGCAACGGTTGACCACAAACGGTTTAAAACCGTTACCATAGAGTTTAATGCAACAGTTGCAAACTGTTACCATACTATTTACCACGATGGTTGGAAACCGTTACCATAATATTTATTGCAACAGTTATGTATGCTATTGCAACGGTTATTTATAGATAATCTAATGATTCTATTTCTATTGCAACGGTTCAATTAGGCTATTGTAACAGTTTAATTGACAATATTGCCCTCGTTATAAATAACATTTACATATATAAATATTGGTAATAACCTGGAAATTATATAAATAAAAAATAAAATACTCCATAACCTATATTGTCCAATAAGCTAATAATAACCATAATAGCAAAATATTTTAACCCAATCACATACGTTTTACAGTTCAACACTTCAAAAGTTAAATTTTCAAATGTTGATAACAAAAGACTCCTAGAACATCGACAACAATTCAAAGTTCTTCTTAAAGTCTAGATCTTCACTATCTCCATCTCCCCTTTCTTCAGTTGCTCCATCTACAAAAGAGGATAAATAAAGTCATTACCTTTCAAGGATTAGTTTAGATTGTAAGAATGGGTATACTCCATGAACAATGCATAAAGCACAAAGCTTCGAGGAGAAAGAAATAAGTTCGCACAAATGAAGAAGCCAAAGTTTAGTAACAAATCAAATTATCAAAACCAAACTTGTAAGCATATGCATTCAGACAAATTAAGAGTTGTCTGTTTTTCTTATTTTGAATCAACTCAAACATAAAAACATAACAAAATGAACAATCTAACAGTTTCAGTAGCCAACCACACTAACAATTTTCAACTTTTTTTTTTTTTGCAAGTAATAATCTAAAGTGGATACATTTCATCAGAAGCATATCAAAAATAGTCAAGCAAAATACATATCGAGACAGAATTTTTGCAATATTGACTTCGAAAAAACATTGCAACATAGCTCATATTAAACTAACAATGGACAACACAAAAATGGAAGCTCCATGTTATCTATTTTTCCAAAAGAATTTTGATAATACTGGAAAGGGCATACTTTTTAACGAGCGTTCACCCAAACATGAATGATCCATTCAGACATATTTCGGATTCATAAACTTGTTCCACTTATCTGGGAGTAAAGAACATGTATAGCTATATAAGGTAGTAAATTACGTCGTGCTAAAAACTTGCAATAAGATGGACAAACACAATAGGTTGTCTAAAGGGCAGCCCTGAAAAAACATATAGTTCTATAGTAAAAGCTAAGTGCTTCCAGAAAAGGAATTATTGTATTGCTTGAGCATATACAATATAAAACTTAAAACAATCAAATAGAGTAATGAAATCTTAGATAATCCTATGAGAGTCAAACAATCGGCGCAATAGCAATTTCCTGTAAGCTTGAGTATGCCATTACTGAAGAAGCATCTAAGAGAAAAACAAACCCGAAGAGGTTAATTTTCATCATTTGTGCCAAGCATCTCGTCTACCAAGGTCTGACATTCTTTGGGAGTTGCGAAGCTTAATCACTTCTCCACAAAATTGGAGGCAAACTTTTGCTGGCTCATCTGGACTATCTATCCCATCAGCTTACTAATTATAGACGAACGCTCCTCTGGCATCCTATGTTCCAGTACATGCTGTAACTAAACTTGGTAGCATTAGTAAGAGGAGAACATCTAAGCTAAAACAACAAGAGAAAGAATCCATCCAGGGGAGTTGATGACATCTCCCTCACGTATACTACAACAATGAGACATATATACTCATTTATCTATTGAGAGCAAATAGTTAGAAGATTACTACATACAGAAAAATTGATGGCAGTATTCTAAAGAAGGACGACAAACACATCCCTGTAGTTTTAGATTGTATACAAGAACCCATATTCAAAAAATACTTGATTATTTAGCGCAAAAATTGTGCTACCATCAACTTGGAAATATGCATTAAGTCGTGGATATACATTCATTCGCTTATGAAGTAGGATATGAGAAGAAGATTCAGAAACACTTGAAAGAAAGATGCGTAGCAATTCCACGAACACCTTCCTTATGTCAAGAAACTTCATAGTAGCAAAATACCGAGCAATCGGGTAAAAGAACCACCAACAGCTGTTCAAACAATATTTTTCAAAAATACAACCTCTTGGAATAAAGGCACGAATGGTTTTAATATTCTGCAGACAAGTTGCACCCTCTCTAAATTAGAAAACTTTTGACACTAGTACCAGTAATTAGCAAACTCTTAACACTAAATTATTTCATCGCTTTCAAGTTCAAATTCTTGATCTGCTTTCCTGTGTTCAAAATTAGATACACATGAGCTCCAAGAAGAAAGAAATAAAAGCAAATAAATAGACGTCTTTCATATGATAGCATGACAAATATTAATGAAATTGCAAATTAGATAACACTTCAAATTGAGAACAATGTAAGCTTGACAAGATAAAAGAATGCAATGAATATGGTAATCAAGAAAAGCTTTATACAGAACATACCTCAAGAAAAGAATATAGCCTGCTTCCTAAGAAATGAATTTAGAACTTCTTCAATCTCCTGTGGCAATACATCAATATTTGAGACCATAGTGAATACTCAGAAGAACTATCAAAGTCGAAGAGTATAGCATATTTTCTAAGAAATGAATGTAAAACTTCTTCAATCTCCAGTACATGTGGAGTTAAATAACAATAGTAAAAATATGCGAGACACCGTTCATTGGCATGCTGTTTATCGAAATTTGCATAAATTTAACCCTTGTGCTCATAGATATGACAAGAGGGGTTGCTCTGATGGTAAGCAACCTCCACTTCCAACCAAGAGGTTATGAGTTCGAGTCTCCCCAAGAGCAAAGTGGAAAGTTATTGGAGGGAAAGATGCCGAGGGTCTATTTGGAAATAGCCTCTCTACCCCAGGGTAGAGGTAATGTCTGTGTATATACTACCCTCCCCAGACCCTACTAAGTGGGATTATACTGGGTTATTGTTGTTGTGCTCATAGAACCAAAATCCCTCGAGCATAAAAGATAATCATACTGAATTTCATATGTAAGACCAGTCTGTTTCTGTTAGCCCTATTGGTTAAAAGATGTTTCAGGGCCTAGGAATCCATAAGAATAGAAAAAAACTAGGCTCCATAGGAGTAGGAAGAACTTATAATGAAACTGTTACTTCTGGTGTCCTAGTTCACAAACCATTCACCACATTACCTGACCCATCTAACTTAACAGTTCATAGAGCTGAAAAAATCTATACTGCTACACAAGTTAGAACATATAGTATTTCAATTTAAGCTGCATACACATCCTAGGTGATTATTAGCTGCAAAATAAAGCCTATAGCAGGTAGAAAGTATGACAAATCCATGATACTAAGTATTTTAGGAAAATCAGGAAGGACAAAGAAAGAATTCACCCAATAGATTTCTTTATACGAAAATGATGCCATAAAGCAACCCACTCTTGTCCAGATAAACAATAGCATAAAGGATAAACAGATTCACATGCACGGGAGCACCCTTTAAGATGGAATAGGTCGATCTTACTTTGCAACAAATTCATAAAAATGAATCATCAGGTCTCGATCACTCTCATAAGTCATGTTTATTTTTTCCAAGCAAGCAAGACCAAATCTTGGATTTGCAACAGAGAAATAAAGACTCCCGTTATAATGATATAATTATATAAAGCATGCATAACGATTGGAGGTACGCTTTTCTTCAAATTAAATATTATATGACATTGCATATCACCAATAGAAAAACTTTAGTAGGTATGTTTTTTCCCAAAATATTATATTATACTGCATATCAATAATGGGAAAACTTTAGTACTAGTTTTTGAACCAACGACAACAACGAAAAGAGAGCAGAAACCCAATCTAACTTCTTATCAAATTAAACTAATAAGCAATCAAAATGACAAGATTATATCCGGTAGAAAATAGGTAATATGGTTCTGATCCCAAGCTAAATATACAATTTTACTAACATCAGAAATACCATCAGCATCATAAGTATACATTAACCACTTCGGCAAAATCACATTGTAACATATCTGCAATTCTGCCTAGCTCTATCTGCAAAACTGGTTTTTGGCACCTCTTTTTGAAACACAACGACCACTATACAATGACCAAGCAACATGGTTCAACTAGATTAGAGTAAAAAGTTCTTATTCTTTGCATGCATGCTCGAACATGTGTACAACGAACATATGTATGACTATACCGCAGAAAAAAGAGCACTTGATCTTTAATACTCAACAATTGCCTAAGTTGAAATGTCGTTGAAGGAAAGCATGAGTAATTTAAAGCTCACCAATTCTCATCTCGGAAAATATCTCCTCTTGGTTAGCAGTGGTTATAGCAACAACCTCCTACTTGTCGCTGATAAATATTAAAAAGATCCGATGTTTACGAGCTCAGATATCGCATTGATCCCTGCTCAAACATAGAGGAAGCTATTGTAATAACTCAATTATTTCTTAACACATTCAGCAATAAAAAATAAAATTTTAAACCTGGGCGATATTCTACCTTGACAAGAAGACCGCGAAAGCTGCTACTTTTCTGCTTCAAAGGCGAAAATCGTGCGACCTTTACAGTAGAAAATAGGATGAAATTAGGGTGCAATTTTATGTTTTTCTCGTAAAATTGATTGCAAAAAAGGGATGAATGATAGTACAAAAATATCCTAACAGATTTCTAATTAGATTTAAAGATTCGGCAGAAAATACTCACAATTTTAAGGAAGAAAAAATTAATAAGTTGAACAACAAAGACGATGGCTCTTCGATTAGTTTTCAACTTATCTTTCACCACATGAACAGATTTGATTCTCTACCAATGAACTCGAACACCATTTTGAGAAACCCTAGCATATTAGCAAGATGAATATTAACCTTAAGGAGATTTTCCAATGGTGACGCCATCATTGCCGTCGATGGTGGTTTGTCTTCTCCTCGTAATCTTTGTTAATGAGGAAGGCTATTTGGGAGAGAGTTGTGAGCGTCGTTTGAGTGTAGTATATCATATGTAGTGTATTATTAGGTTTATACTCTTATTTTATTACATATAAAAAATAATAGAAAATTAATTAGAGTGGGTCTCTTTTTAGCGGGAGTCATCCAAAATTTGGGGGAAAAAGTAGAGGGAATTCATAACCGTTGCAATAAATCAAAAATATCAAATAACCGTTACCATAGATAGACTTATTGTTACGGTCATTTAAACCGTTGCCATAGAAATATCTACTACAACTGTTTTTGGACTAATGCAACGGTTCAGGTGCTAAACTGTGCCGATAGTACCAATAACCTTACTCAACGGTTGGAACCGTTGCAATAGACCATCTATAGCAACGGTTACAGATCCGTTGCCATTAAAATCGTTGCCATAGCCCCAATTTTTAGTAGTGTGTATGCCATGTTTGGGGCCTTGTGCCGACCTGTTGAGACCCTTAGGGGCATTTTTACTGTCTTCCTTACTTTATTTGTTTGAAAGTATATCCTCAGTTATGTTTTACCTGTTTATTGTTTTAAAAAATGGTTTTATCACTCTACTTCTTAAAAATGTGAGAACTCTTTGGACTGAGTTCCCCGATTTCCACTGTTATGCCCGAGTGGTTGTGAGGTTAATAAATGAGAGAGGTTGAGGACCTAATTGTAAGGATTATAAATATTACGGATCGGGTTGCACGCCGCTGTAATATTATATGTATATATTATGTATCGGGCTGCACGCCGCAGCGATATTATATGTATATATTATGTATCGGACTGCATGTCACAGTGATACTTATATGGATCGGATTGCACGCCGCAATGATATATATATATACATTGGATCGGGCTGCGCGTCGTAGCGATATGACGCTTGGGCTGTAGGAGCCCCTCCGGAGTCTGTACACCCCCAGTGAGCGTATTCGACTATAAACTATAGATCGGGTTGCACGCCGTAACGGTTATTATGATTATTACTATTATGAGATGTTATTGAGCCTAAGTGTTGAGTGACGAGAGCTGAGTCACGAGTGACTGAGAGGCTTGCCCGAGAGGCTATATTTATGAGTGATACTCTGCCCGAGGGGCCCATTTATGATATTTTTGCTGATTTCACTCTTCTTTTATAATGAGCCTCTGTTGAAAACTGCTAAGTAAATGATTTCAAAGTATTTCAATTGAAACTGAAGCTTTATGAAGAAATTGGTTTTTAAACTGTTGAGTTTGACTTGATATTCTATTGTTTACTCTTTTATATGATTTTTAACTGCTCGTCACTACTTTCAGACCTTATTTACTTTAGTTACTTACTGAGTTGGCGTACTCACGTTACTCCTTACACCTTGTGTGCAGATCCAGGTGCCCGAGCGGCAGAGTGAGGGTTCTCAGCATTTCCAGAGCTTATCGGAGATTGCAAGGTAGTTGCACGGCGTCCGCAGCCCTGCTTTCCTCCTTCCTATCTTTGTTTTTCTGCACTTTTAGACTTGTTATGTAGTAGACACTCGGATCAGTATATTTAGAGGCTCTAGACTCGTAACACCATATGTTTGGGTTGTGTTGGTCTGTTTATGTAATGTTTTTAGCACATTTCAGTGATTTATAAATTCCTTATGAAAGCTGAGACTTAATTAAATGTTAGAAAAATATTTTTAGTGAAAGAAATTGACTGTGGTTACTTGTTGGATTGGCTTGCCTAGTATTGTGATAGGCACCATCACGATCGAGTATTTGGGGTCATGATAGTCCTCCATGACGGGTCAAAATGCGGCGGATAATATTTTCAAAGTAACTTATTTGGTGTATTTTCCAAAGTGTTCGATCAAGAGTAAGTTGTGGAATTTTACATCATTTATATCTCCATTTCCTTGATAAGATGCTTGTTCTAACAACATCTGGTAAAATCATACGTATAAGAATATCATCAAGAACATCATCAGGAATGTTGCTTAGTATATCGAAAGGTAAAGTTCCACTGCAATTTTTTTTCGACTGGAGGCAACATATTAGGATTAGGATTATAGGAAAAATGATGAAGATTAGGATAAACGAAAGTTAAGATTAAGATTATGGAAAAAGAAGAAGAGGAAGAAGCAAGAAACCTGTTGAAATTTTGAAGATGGAGCGTCAAGGGACCATGGGCGGATCAACTGCAAAAACGAAATTTGGGCATATTGATTAACTTCCCAAGGAAGATATGTATAGTTATACATCCCTAATTTAGGATTCCAATGTATATAAATGAAAGCACAAAAAACACAGAAGTTCTAATCGGTGCTTTGGTCAAGTAAGGGTAGTTGTTGCATCTATTGAGTGAGGCGTCGGGAGATCGAATCTGACCTTTAACATGGTTAATTTTAATTTTTTCCTTTCAACCCAATCAGTTTTTTTTTTAAAAAAAAAAAGTTAAACCAGTAGTTACATTTTTTATCTACTTTATTTATTTCCTTTTTTAGACTAATTTTTCCCTGAATTTTATTTTACCTTCGGTTTTTTTTATTTTTCCTTTTCTATTTTACCTAATAATTCCCTATAACAATCGCCATTTATAACCTATGTTAATTATATCGCTGTGATTCATAGTAATATCGACTGTTTATATAATAGCCATTTATATTAAGGTCATACGTATCGGCCTATAACAACCATATAATTCCATTCACTAATATGGTTGTAGTCATATGACCTATGATAATTACATCGTTGTGATTCACAATAATTGACCGTCTATATAATTTCATTCATTAAGGTCATACGTATCAGCCTATAACAACCATATAGGTCCATTCACTAATATAATTGTAGTCATATAACCTAAGCTAATTATATCGTTGTGATTTATAGTAATATCGACTGCTTGTATAATAGCCGTTTATATTAAGGTCATACGTATCGGCCTATAGCAACCATATAAGTCCATTCACTAATGTGGTTGTAGTCATATAACCTAAGATAATTATATCATTGTGATTTGTAGTAATTGACCGTCTATATATATAATTTCATTAATTAAGGTCATATGTATCGGCCTATAGCAACCATATAAGTCCATTCACTAATATGGTTGTAGCCATATGACCTGTGATAATTATATCGTTGCGATTCATAGTAATATCGATTGCTTGTATAATAGACGTTTATATTAAGGTCATACGTATCGGCCTATAGCAACCATATAAGTCCATTCACTAATATGGTTGTAGTCATATGACCTATGATAATTACATCGTTGTGATTCATAGTATTATCAAAAGCTTGTATAATAGCCATTTATATTAAGGTCATACGTATCGGCCTATAGCAATCATATAAGTACATTCACTAATATGATTGCCTATGCTAATTATATCGTTGTGATTCATAGTAATATTAACCACTTATATAATAGCCGTTTATATTAAGGTCACACGTATCAGCCTATAGCAACCATATAAGTCCATTCACTAATATGGTTGTCGTCATATAACCTAAGCTAATTATATCGTTGTGATTCATAGTAATATCGACCATTTATATAATAGCCGTTTATATTAGTGTCATAATTATCGGCCTATATATAATGACTCGGCCGGTCGTTTTGAATAATGCAATCTCGTTTCCCCCATTTACTAATAAATTCATGCTTTACAATTGTAATGTGACTTGTCGGGGTAATTGGTTAGGGTCCGGTGAGGTTTTTGAAATGAATTGAGACACTTAGTCTCCAAGAAGAAAGCTTAAGTTGAATAATTTGACCGGAAGGTGAAAAATATGTAAATGACCCCGAAATGGATTTTAATGATTCCATTAGTTCTATATGATGATTTCGGGCTTAGGAGTATATCTGAATATTTATTTCGAGGTCCGTAGCTAAATTAGGCTTGAAATGGCAAAAATGAGAAATTTAAGTTTGAAAGTTTGACCGGGGAGTTAACTTTTTGACATCGGGGTTGGAATCTAGTTCTAAAAATTTTCCTAGCTCTGTTATGTCATTTATGACTTGTGTGCAAAATTTGATGTCAATCAGACTTGATTTGGTAGGTTTCGGCATCGAATATAGAAGTTGGAAGTTCTTAGTTTCATTAAGCTTGAATTGGGGTGTGATTCGCAGTTTTAGCGTTGTTTGATGTGATTTGAAGTTTCGACCAAGACTGTATCATGTTTTAAGACTTATTGGTATATTTGGTTGGGGTCCCGGGGTCTCGAGTGTGTTTCAAATCATTTTGGGCTACTTTGGATGCTGATTTTCTGATATCTGTTGTTGTTCTTCGCGTTCGCGTAGAGCCTCTCGCATTCACGAAGAAGAATTTGGCCTTAGGAAGTTTGTTCTTCGCGTTCACGAAGAGACTCTCGCGTTCACGAAGAAGGAAATTTTGGTTGCACAAGTCTGACGTCGAAGACTCGTATCTCACAATCTATAAGGAATTTATAGATGATCCAAACACGAAAGTTGTAGCCCTCTGTGTCTCGTTTTTAGAAATGTAAATTAATTGGCATTTAGATTTGTGTACACAAAGTTATGGTAGTTACACTACAGACTGTCTGGGGAGAGTTTGAAAATCTCTACTTCACAGGGGTGACTTTGGAAGCTTATATCTCGCAATATATAATGACTCAGGAAATGAATAACCTATGAAATGATAGCCCTTGGTGTCTAGTTTTCAGAACATTAAACCATTTATCATTTGGAGTTGCGCGCAAAATGTTATGACAATTATACTAAAGGTTGTTTGGAATGAGTTTGGAAATCGCTGATGAGGAATTTGCTCATCGCGAACGCGAAGAACAAACCCCTGGGCAGCAGAATAAAGTCCAAATTCATCCCATTCTTCAATTTTTGGACCAAGGAAGCTCGGGTAGGGTGATTTTTCGAGGGTTTTTCAGAGAAAACAATGGGGTTTAACACAATTTTCGATAGATTACTCGAATCCATCGTTGTTTTTAACATTTAATTGGTGATTTTAAGTTGGAAAAGTTTGAAAACCCTCTTGGATAGATTTGAGGATTTGAGGGTCGAAATGTTATCTG